TTTTTTTTTGAGATGGAGTTTTGCTCTTGTCGCCCAGGCTGGAACACAGTGGCGCAATCTCGGCTCACTGCAACCTCTGCCTCGCAGGTTCAAGCGATTATCCTGCCTCAGCCTCCTGAGTAGCTGGGATTACAGGCACGTACCACCATACCCAGATTTTTTTTTTTTTTTTTTTAAGATGGGATCTTGTTATGTTGCCCAGGCTGATCTCTAACTCCTGGCCTCAAGTGATCCTTTCAGCCTCCTGAATAGCTGGGATTATAGGCATAAGCCACCACACCTGGTTGTATTTTCTGTTTTAAAAGTCCTTATATAGCACATAAATTACATACTCCCAGAAAGTTCATCTTCATCCATTTAGCTATGTAGACAGGAATGAGAATATAATGTTTACAACATTGATTATGATGTGAGACTGCCTAAGTTCAAAATCTGTGATCTAGCCATGCTGGAGAAACAAAGACTGAACTTAACCTCCTTCCATAAACAACTAAATAAAATAAAGGAAAGAAATACTGGTGGGGTACATTGGTTCATGCCTCTGTAATGCCAGCAATTTGGGAGGCCAAGGCGGGTGGAGTGCTTGAGCTGAAGAGTTCAAGACTAGCCTGGACAATGTAGTGAAAACCCATCTCTACAAAAAGTGCAAGAAAACTAGTCAGGCATGGTGGTGCACACCTGTGGTCCCAGCTACTCAGGAGGCTGAGGTGGGAGGATGGCTTGATCCCAGGAAGTTGAGGCTGCAGTGAGTTGATCATGCCACTGCACTCTAGCATGGTCAACAGAGTAAGACTATTTCTCAAAAAGAGAGAGAGAGAGAGAGAGAGAAAGAGAAATAAATAAATACCTTCAGATACTGATTAACAGGTAGTACAGGATTATGATTCTGGAAATAAGGGAAACAAGTGAGAGAGAGGATTTCTGCCTGGGGATAGTTTTTGGACTACAAATATGTACAGGGAAGGGGAACTGGCCTCAATAAGTTGAGGAAATGGCTGAAATTTTTAGGGCAGAGTCCTATAAAGAAGGAAGCTATGAAGAAAGTAAAAAGC